GGGCTTTTCTTCACAACCTTGAAATATGTATTTGAGGCAGTTGTGGAGGGAAGTGTTACATTTTGTAACTCAGTCTAACAATGTGGTATTGAATAAACAGGGCTTTGATAATACATGTACTATTATTATGTGACGGTAGGGTTTTGTATAATAGTGATCTCAAATGACATCTGGCCAAATAACCCATAACTTTACAATAAAATTACTATTATTAATAAAATACGACTCATTTAAAATGAAACCACAAACAAAATGGCAGGCTAGTTTTTTTCGTGAAAAGAGAGAAAATTTGAACTTGCCTGGCCTTGTAATAATATCCTATTTGTAATATCACCATATAAGCAAGGAAATATATATATGTACTTACTAAGCCAAGTTTCCTGTTCTGGTGTTAACTCAAATGACTCTCTGTTATCAAACAAATTGGTGGTTAAAGCTTGATCAACAGAACTCAATAAAAAGGACAAAACAAAAAAAAATTAATGCCAAAATGTATGATTAATGAAGACCACTTAGTGGGTGAAACCCCATGCTAACAACTTAATTTTCATCCTTTGAATGTGTAATAATATCATTATAAATGTGTATATGGAAATAACCTTGAGCAAAATACATGCATCATCATGAAACATTATTATTGATCAAGAACCTTACATGTATATTATTTTCATTGCAATCTACTGTTTCAACATGCAGCTTGGGAGTGGAAAAAATTCATGAAATGCTCCTTCCCTGTGATGTGCATAATAATGTGACTAAATAATTGTAATTTAAGCAAGGTAAACGCCCAACCAAATTGAGGGCTGGCTGGTTTTGACTCCATCTGTGCAGCCGACCTGTGCGGTGCTCTCAAGTTGGCTATGGTGTGTGTGCTATATGCTGTAGCTTTGCATTCTTGTGATCACTGTGGATCAGTGTCTTTGTGTATAAATAATTATTGTGATTTTTTGGCCTCCTTACTTTTTACCATGGCTAGGGTAACGAGGAGACACAAGTGGTGATATTTACATGCAAAAAAGGAAGGAAACTAGGTTTGTGTGTGATCAAGTACACCATGAGAGTAATTTTAAGCAAGGTGCAACTAGTAAATCAAAAGCGTTACACTACTTACTGGTTCTAATTTTAATTTGTCTCCCAACTCCTAATGCTACCAGATAAGTCTAGAACATCAGCACCAATATCTAAAAGATAAAAAAAAGCCTACATGAAACTTCACATAACATTATTGATAAACAGTGTATTTGAAAAGCACAATGATGATAAGACAGGTCACTTACTTTCACATAGCATTGCTACAGTGAGATCAACACGTTTATTTGAAGTTTACTGTTGACAAAATGAGCAAAGATGTACATGTATTAATATCAAAATAAAAACACTTTACATGTATCATAAAATTGAAAATAAAAAGAGCTACGCCAGAGAAGAAGTTCACCTCAATTTAGGCGCAGTACTCCAAGAAACAATAGATCTTATTCCTTGTTTGATGGTAAAAGTTTTTGAGTTTTTCTGTAGCAGTCAAGGTTAAAATGAATGAAAACCTGAAAATTTGAGACTGTAAGAGTCCCATGAAATCTTCAAGAAAAAGTGTTGAAAAACTTGTACACAACAATTTTTCAGCAAGAAAGAGCATTTAAAGGAAAGTATTACCCACCTATTTGCATCTGTGTCTACTGCATATCATACTTGGTTTCCACAGCTCTGTAGTACCAGAACTCAGAAACCACAAGAATACCAAGAAATAAAAAACGGTAGGATTGAAACCAAAATTAGAAAACAAAATAATTAAGGAAGTAGGTATTGTGATTCTTATAACATTACCTCTTCAATGTCTTCTCAACAGCTGGAAAAGAAGCTGAAAAATTTCTAGTCAATCAGTTTTTAAGCAACTACAGTCAACTCTGCCCTCGCGGGACACCTTTTTGCTATTAGAAAACCCATAGTATACCTGCCAACCCTCTCACGCCCCGCGGGTTGAAAACTTCTCTCTCACGCCGCTCATGCTTGCGGGCCACATTTCTCACACCTGATTGAAAATGAGAGTTGTTGCCTTGCTTGGACACAATTCCATAAATATGTTAACTCAGACCCATGTAAGGAACGAAAACCATGTGTAAAATGAATAAATGACAATACCTTCCTTTGCGATCTGATTTTTGTGGATAAGCCGAATAAATTCGCCGCAGATGACTGGACGTCTTCGGAAGACTTTGGACTCTTCGAATCTTTCGAAATGATCGTGTCGCTTCAAAAATCCCAGCACTTCCAGGATAAAAATCACGCTTATATCTCAGAAAAAGTTGGCGGGTATACCATAGCTAGAGTGGTGATCCGTGGGACGCCAAACCAATCAGAACAGAACTACGTAAGATGTATTCCATCTGACCAATCACAAAGAACTTAAGATTCTGGCTATTTTTACATGTGATCTGGTAGATTATGTAGCCCTGATGTTTATATACATGTAGTTACTGATATTTTTAATTTTGAGAAGCTCAACTTCATAGACATATTCATGAGGATGTCATGGATGAATGCTAGAAACTTTACGCTGTGACCCGTATGTACATGTTATTGTATATCGTAGTTGAGTATGTGACCAGGAAGTAGCGGCCGGTGAAGGAAGGAATAAAATTCAATAATTTTGCTTATTTATACATTTTTAAGAATTCTCAGACTCAGAAACTGAGAGCCTTATCTACAGTTCTTGAAAGTACTTACCAGAACCACCGCTAGTAGTAGTTTGTTGATAATTTTCTGGACTTTAGGGAAAGCATCCAATTCTTTTAAAACTTTGAGTGTTTGTTTTCGGTTCCTAACGGCTCCAAGTCTACGCATTTTGACCCTGATGGCTTAATCTAGACGATTATATTAATTTTTCAACGCGATCAGCTCACTAAGGATGCACTAAATCCTAAAAAAGGAAAGAGAAACAGCGTCAACTTGTCGTACAATCACCAGACGCCATGTTGAAAATCCACGTTTGTGATCATGCGCAAAACGCGAGTGACCATGATGCACTGCCGCAATCTTGGAAAGACAGAAATGGTTCTGGACTCAGAGGTCTAGGGATAGCGGAGCGGTAGGCTGGGATGGCTTGAGCTTCCCCAGAATTACCAAAATAAAGTAAGATAAGAGCACTTTTCAAGAAGAGAGTCTCCTCAGATTCCCACTTCAATGGACTAGTCAGCACTCCAACTTGGAAAAGATAGCGATGGAATGGCTGAGGTTAGGCCGAGTCCACGCGCTCCCACACCAACCAGACGGTCTCAGGTTCCTTTCTCCACATGGGAAAAAACACAACGTCTGTGTAAAACGGAAACTTAGAGTTGGTCCCTGCCTTTCTTTTACTCCCTTTATTTGACTCTCTATAAGACGGACATCTCTCTAAGACGGACACTTTAGGACCAGTCATTTTTATCGCCGAGGCGGGGGTTTTGGGGAGATAACTTGATTTTTAGGAGAACAAAAGGGGGGATCAGGATCACTGAAAACTTTGGAAGGATTCAGAGGGGGACCTCAAATCGCCATCGTTATTTCTTTTCCGTAAGCGTGAAAAGGCAGGATTTCGGCACATTACATATGGAAATTTCCCACCAACTTAATCGTCTGATTCTTTTCATAGTCAGAGTCCACTGAGGGGTGATAAGCCACGCTAGATCTAGAGGATCTAGCGCCCAGTTTTTTAAACTGAGCATAAAAGTAAGAATAGACTGAAAGAAACACAACAGGCACACTTTTTTAGAATTCAGATCCAATCATTTCACTCTCCGTATGCCATTGAATAAGACAACCTTCAGACCCTGTAACAGATATTTTATTGATTCATTTACATTTGTCTTCCAAAGTCTGTTTTCTACAACTCTACAATTGCAATCTTGTTCTCGACCCTTGTCTCATTTCATTAATAGTTTAGAGTGGTTTACCTGACTTACAAGTAGCTTGGGGAGGAACGCTCACGAAAAGAGGGAAAAACAGTAAAACAAAAAACAAGAGGTGAGGGGGGGAAATGAGCTTAAAGATAAGGAAAGGAAAGAAAAAATCTGGAATGGGATAAGGAATAAAAAACTGTTAAGTTTAATGATTTAATTTAGGATATCATCTTCTTATTATTTCTTTTTTGTTATACTTAATGAATGAAGTACAAAAAGAATTTTATTTCAGCGTTGAGATAGCCTCGGTTTATTTTTTGGCGTCGCAAGCTCCAGCCTAACGATGGAATTTAAATTTAACAGTTTCTACAAAAAGTAAGTCCGTTTAATCGTGTCCCCAGGTCCTCTTTCTTCCCGTCCGTCTCTTTCCAACTCTCTCGCTTTAGGGACATGAAAAGAGAGACCCTGGTCCGACGTTGACTTAGCTCGTGTTTTAAACTCGACAAAGCACTCCCAATTTGTACCACGACCAAGTTTTTCCCTTGATTGTCGTTTACCTGTTTACCACCTCTACTCAAAAATAAGTAGTTTCACGCCGGTTGTATCCTAAGAATTGTTCTGGACAGTTTTTATCTGCTTATTTTCTATCCTGAGAAATATTCAACTTGAATCTGACGTTTGCCATTTGTCGTACACGTGACTCTTAAGACATAAACTCCACCTGGTGACCTCCTAATTTACGACATTCTCAAGTTCTGCCTGCCGTTTTCTATGTTTTAGCTGCAAACGCTTGTCTAATTTCACCACCTCACTGGCTTCAGAAGCAAGTCCCTCCTACTAGAATACTTGTATCTTATGATGTCCTCTGTCTGCTACAACGATATTGCCGTGCCTTGAGATAGCAAGGCCAGTCGGCTTGCCAAAGACACCGCCATTTTAGTCTCTGTGTCACCAAGCTTGATAAACACCCATCTGAATCAAGGATCTGTACGTTATAATTCTTCAAGTCCGCCACAGCAATGTGCCCCTCGGAATCTACCGCAATGCCTGCTGGGCAACTAAGTTGGCCACTGTTGCTTCTCTCCAAATTTGGCCAGAAAACTCTCCTTCACAGTTGAACTTTTGCACTCAAAATTTCCAGCATCCGACACAAAAATGTCGTCGTTTTGATCGACGGCGATATGTCGGGCAATTGAATTTGCTTCGCCATCTCCGCACACGCCAAAAAATGCATAACCGCTGGCCTTCGGAGTCGAAGATGTGGATTCGGTGATTGTCGCGTTCGGCGACTATAACCCGACCATTTGAATCCAAGGCGAGACCACATGGACCTTTAAGCTGGCCGAGACCGGTACCTTTAGAGCCAAACTTTAACGAACTGGCCATCGTTTGTAAAAAACCTGTGGGATCAAATAACTCTACAGATCAAGACAAGGAAGATTAAGTACCATTAAATGGGTCATGATTGGTATAAATTAAAACAATTAGCTAGGTGTCATCTGTTCCTGAACCAAAATTGGACAAATTGTATATTGATTCTATTTTTAGGGTTTCTACCCAGTAGCGCATTCGCTTACTTGAATTTATGGTTGCCGGATCTGCCACAAAAATATGTCCGCTTTCACTCATGCACACTCCAGCTGGGCACCAGATCTGCCCATCTGCTTTTCCCCGCGTGCCGAACTGGTGCAAAAGGCGTCCATTGGTGTCAAAATCTTAGGTAAAAAGAAGTTAGAATTATTTTTTGTTCTCTAGCTTTTTCGCAGTAAAATACGTCTAATACATGTCAACCAAAACTAACTACGAGAGAACGGCTGGACAACTGACAGTTTGACCAACAATAAACGACTGTTTAACTATGACGATAGACGGATCGAAACGCACCAGTGACATTACGAGTCTTCATAGCCACGACATCATGGCTTAACTGACAGAAGACCAATAACATCGCGACTTTATTGGCCAATCAGGTAAAACTGATAACCAGAGTTTAATACCATCAACTGACGTGATACAACTCTCTTCACTCTGAAGATGACTACCGCACAGGTTGTCGAAACGTCAGTTAGTGTCAACAACAACAGTCCTTTTCCGGACTGCGTTCATCCGACGATGATATTCAACCTACTTATGAAATGACTTCTGGGTTCAAACCTTTCACAGTTTTAATACATGTCAAGCTTACCAGTTTTCAACCTTCAGTACCCGGCATTTCAAGTATAAAATTTTACACAAATACTTACGCCTCTTTAACCAATCAGAATGCGAGATTTGGTTTTATACTAAACTTATTTAATTGAAAACCCGAAATTATAAGGGTACAAGTTGGTTTCCAGTAGATTTCTGGGATCTTGGAGAGAAGCGTTACTTTTGATTGGTTAATGGTTGCCTTGAATACCATCGACCAATCATAACTGAGGCTTGTCCACCCATACGATCCCAGAAATCACAACCCAAAGCTTGTACCCATTCTCCCTAGAGTTTCTGAAGTGGGGAATTCTCACTAGTGTGAATGTTATTTGTCTTTTTTCCCCCCACCCCACAGGGTGCTAGTTGGTGAGGGAAGGGGAGGTGAAGAGACGGATTCATTTTAGACCAAATTCTCACTGAATGTGATGATTATGATGGTCTGAGACGACATACAGCCCGTTAGGATCGGCAACTCCCCAAGGCTCGTGAATCGTCATTGCGTCATCGCTGTTGGGAGTAAACCTTAGCAACACTGGTCCAATTTTGGTACAGTCTATACCTGAAGTAACCTGTGAATACAGAAAGGTATTGCCACAATAAGAAAACAAAAAGGAGAAAAACCTGTATCTTAAGACCATGTAATTTTTGAGCTTTTTGGCGCGATAAAATCGCGTAAACATATTCAGGAGGGAAAACAAACACATGGCTTACGACGCTAAAAATTTAGTGCTTAGAAAACATTTTGATTAAAAAAACATGAGAGTGGCTTATATATCACTTCATAGGCTACTGCGATTAGCTGAATGAACTTGTATGGAATAACTACGTTCACATAGCACCGACCAGTTGAAAATTGTGCGTTTAGTTGTTCCGTTCCCAAAAGCCACCTTAACCGTACAAAAGTTTATACGCTTAGCCGTTCAAAGTTCCGTGTGAACAGAGGAAAATTTTGAACAGTCCAGTGTGAACAAAGTGTCCGGTCAAAATTTTCAGCTGGTCGAAAATTCGTCCAGTGTCGTGAACATAGTCTGCATCTTGCTTAGTTCCTAGGCCTCATTACTCCGCGCGACCCAAGTGTTTCAGGTCACGTGGTTCAAGCTTTGCCTCGATATACGAAGTGAATTGACCGAGAGTGACTGGAAAACGCCGACCAGGGACTAGAAAGCCTGCATCTTCTCTTTGGGCGAACTAATTTGACCTTAATTACGTTGCCCTGGACGATACGTCAAGTAATTAGTGCTAAAACGTTATACGATAAAAATCTCAGCAAAAATTGGGAAGCTAATAGAACAAAACCCAACACAAGACAAACCTGAAGGTCAAATGGACTGCCTTGAATGGATTTTCCTCGCGCATGTATGGTGATCTGGTGTTTCTCCCTTGGAGACTGGTTTAAAGGAAGCCGGTGTAGTGCCATCACTGTTGTCTTCTACAACAGCTGTGATTGGTGAACCGTTTGACAGTGTAGTTTGACTGATAGCAAGTCTCCACTCCACGAAAGGAAAATGCTTTGGATCAGTAACAAGGTTAATTAAAAATCAAATAACTTAGTTACGTGGTACATTTTGCCACTTAAGAAAAGAGAATAGGACTGAGCCGAAATGTGTCCCGCGATTGTCTCTGGGATCGTTACGCACTGGGGGACTCGCCGGTCAATTTTTAACTGTCCCGAATAACAGTCCCAGAAGTCTTTACGAGCGTTAACTCGACCCAGTCTCCTTTCTCGTTTCTATGGCGAATAAAGTGAATCTTCGAGTCGTAAAATGGCGATGTCTACCATTAAGTAGGATCATCACCTAAAGTAGGAGTTATTTGAGCAGGAGAATTGCATCATTATCCAGAGTAGAACTGGTGTTACGGTGATACATGCATCCCATGTTTTCAAAACCCAGCATCTCCTCTCACATTAACTTAGCGATTTTGAGTTAGGGTTGGACTTAAGGCCCAAAATGCGGGGATGCCCATATCACTGTGACACCGGGTGTGTGAAGGCGTACTTTTTGAGCAAGAGAGGAGGTTCTCTTGACTAGAGGGAATGAATTCTCTGTAAACGCCGTGAGAATAATTTCCTAAGTAGCCTTAACGAGTTTTCATTTGACAGTAAGATTTCTTTGTTTTTTCGCCATCACATACCTGTCACACAAGGCTCTCCGTTTCTGTTTGTTGTAATCTTGAAAGTTGACCTGTGTCCAACTTTCCCTAGACAGCCAGGCAAGACCTTCTGCGCATGTCAGCATAGGAACAGGTAACTAGTGGATACCGTCCCAAGTTTAGCTATGACTTTGAAAGCTCCTCATCATTAGACGAGAACTCGATGACCTGAGGACGAGAGAATGGGTTCAACACGTATCAGATTGGCTTTCCTTCGTTCCCTGTTCCCGAGTCGAAGTTCTATAAAACCAGCGTCATGGCCCATAGCACTCGCATTCAGATCATGCACATATGATTTTCCGTTTGTTTTTCCGATGAAATTAAACCCAGTTAGTCTCCTTCCCTTTGCCGCCTTTTTATAAGCGGATGACGGCTTCCCAGTTCTATTTTATTTCCTTTACATTTTAAAGATTTAAATGTTTCAAAGTAACGAAACATCAAGTTTAGTAATCAAAAGCAATGTTTTCAACCAGATTATCTTTAAATTTGGAATTTACACTGATTTTCATCTTTTCTTTTTTTATCTTGTAATAATATCTGCGTCGTTTTTTTTTTTAGTTGTTGGACTGATTAAGTTAGGATCATGCGCAGTACTGACCTCATTATCCTCAGGTTCACATTGTGATTCGTGATTATTCAGCTTCTGAAGTCTGCTGACCATCTGCGGCTTCACCAGCATAATCTCAGCCTCATTTCCGTACCTGAGTACATTTTCAGTGAATTCACAGCTGCTGAGGAGGTTTGAAAGGTCCAGCTCCAGTATT